CCTGAGAACAGAGACATTCAATAGCCCAGGTAAGGCTAGAACTTACCAGATCTCGTTCGTGGGGCACTTAAGATTCTTAACATGTGGAATGGCTTTTTTGGTAGCCTCTGTAGCAGTTAGTATAATTAGTACATACTATATGCTAAATATGTGTTTTAAAAATTGAATTAAAAACCTAGTCACCAAATTAGGTACTCGAAAAAAAAAAAAAAATCAACCGTGTTCGAAGATCTGCTTTATTATACATAACCCAAAATGTGGTCTAACTAGAAACTACTTATTAAGCCTCTTTATGCCACGCACTACGGGGTTTCAGACATATTTAGAAGCATATTTTCAAATGCCTTCATATTTTTCCTGGGCCTCACAGACAAGTCTAGACTAAGAAGCAAGAGAGCACCCTCGGTCTTCCTACTAGGGCAGCTACCAAGTAAAGGACACTGCTCATCCGCCACTTCAGTTTCTGGGTGGCTTTCCTGCCAGTCTCTACCTCAAAAGGGACTTCCACACCTGGATTTCAACTTCTGCCTCATCACCCACTTCCATTCTTTCTATCCCCAGCCAAAAGTTATCTTGTAATTTCTTAATCTTAGGCCAATAACAGCAAGGATACTGCCATCTTTTCACAGATGTGGGGTAGAAAGAGAAAGGAATCTTGGTGGTGTGGCAGTAAACAAATTAGAACTCTATAAGCCACAAAAATGGCTGCCCCCCACTGGCTTGCAGGATCCAGAATGGCCTCTATAGTTATTTCAGAATGAATTTAAAGCCTCACTGAGCAAGTAAACAGTATGACAAACTGAAAGCTCAGCTCCAACCGCTGGAGCATTTGCGCAGACTAGTTTATCAACACAGAAGACAAATGGGACATGACTTTGTAATTAGAAAGAGAACATATAGAAGGATAATATAAAAACCACCATAATTTCTGGATCAACTTCTTTATTTGACTTGACCCCCTTATATACCCCAACATTCAGAGCACTGGCTGAGACTTCTGAGACATGTCAAGCACTGTAAGGGACAGATGCTTTGGCAAAGCCTCCTACAAAGACCTTTAGAGGCCTAATTATTAACTATCATATATTTGTAGACACAGAAGCTTAAGTCTTCATGAGGTGTCTGGTTTAAATGAAGAAATAAGGCCTTGCCCTAGGGTAAAAATGACACCATAATCTTGAGAGGTAGTGTTTCAACTTGTTAAAACGACAATTTCTCACCTAGATCAGAGAAGGTAAACTGGAAAGCTAAAAGAAATCCACATGTAAAATGTTTTTGATAAACCATCAGAATAGGTAGACATGTCAATGTCACCCCACACAACGCCCTCCAAACAAAAAGCAAATGAAAACATGTACAGATGTACACACACACACACACACACACACACACACACACGCACACTGTGCTATAGAGAAGTAAGACACTGACATCCATCAGAAATGCACGATTCTGCCTTAAAGCAAAAATCTTAATCAGGTTATAAATTGCTCTCCTATTACTATGCACATAGTCACTTAATCAAGTGTCGAACCCCAAGTAACAAAATATAATTCACGTGCTCAGATTTAAAAAATTCTTTCTTCAGAGGGAAAATGAATATACAACTAAGGCCTGCATCTCTGGGTTTGTAGTTTTTTAAAAATAAAAGATATGTATCATACCATAGGCTTAAAAAAAGTCTGTATTCTTAACAAATGTGGAAAACTCTATTCCTTAGCAGCCCTCTCATCCCCTGCTTGCAAATCCTCTCTAAACCATGGCCCCTGCTTTATGGCAGACCCAAGTCGAATGCTCATTAAACACATACAACCACATGGGGTAAAGACAAGTGAGCCAGGATGTGTTTAACAATCCCCAGATACTAGAATGAGGGGAACCCCTGGTTAATTAGACAGGGATAAGGAATAACTGGCCATAAATAGGATAGACAGCATTATTGATAGAACTGAACCTCAAGAGATGATGAAGGCTGAAAATTCTTTTCATTTACTGTGACACTTCCTCAGCATTGGGAACTTAACATTATTTCACTTAGTCCTCACAACAACATTCTGAGGTATAATAGTTACTAATATCATTCCCATTTTAGAGATACGGAAACCAAAGCTCAAAGTTAGGGTTAAGTTATTTAAACCACAACTTGTGCAGATTCAAAATGGGTTTTTAATGGATCTCCCTTAGCACATCTGTCACCTACAGATCCCCTGACCTCTGGAAATGTACCACTGGTATAACAGAAATTATCAAAATCTGGCAAATACCACAAATACAGAGCCACACAACTGCCATGATGCAACAGGGCATAAAAGACGCAGATTGGTGATCTGGAAGTCACTGGATTAAGAGTCAGAATCTGCTACATCTCCACACCTCATACACCTCTGTGACTAGCACTGAATCAGAAACAGCGGACGTCGTTCCATTTCTTCTACTATTAGCTATTGTCTGTGTTTTTCTGGCCAAGTTTCTCATCTATAAAATGAAGCAGCTGCACTTACTCCACAGGAAGGTTGTGAAGATTAAATGTGACCTTGTATAGTACCTGGCATCAACGAAAAGTTTCTTTCCCTCTACCCAGTCTGGTGCAGAAAGCCAGTAAATATTGTAATAATTCAGAAGGAAAATGCTACCATGGGATATGTGTGGAAAAGTTTCGAAGAGGTCATGGGATTTGCACTTAGCCTTGAATATACTTTGGAATGTGTACTGGTAAGGCAGGTTTCTGCTGTAGGGTGTAGGTGGGATGGCTCACAGATGGCCTTAGGAGAAAGCAGCTGAGGAAATACCAGGTAGCACATATGCAACAGCATTCTTCCACACAACCCTGGGTAGGTAAGTGGGTTCAGAATATGATTTCTTCTTCCTTTTCACCATAATTACCATGTATTGTTTGCTGTTACTTCCTCATATTTCAGGAGTATAGAAATTTCCAACTATCATCCTTCTCCAGTACTACCCTCAGTGCCATGGTAAAGACAGTTATTGACAAAGACGGCCTGCCAAACACGCTTGCTGACGAGATCAAGTCCACGGGTTCCTATTTTTCTGCATGTTGTATTATCAGGACTGTCATCCTTCTTGCTCTTACTTCCCTTCGCAGCAGTAAGTGGATGGTTTAGTTATTCTTGATTACACTTGATTATTTCTGAGATCATGGTCAATCACTGAAATTTAGTTAAGCAGTAACTCAATTTGTAACAGTAGCTACACCCATCATCATTTGGCTAAAATGAACAACCAACAGGCAAATGGGTAGAAAGGTATCACAATCGGCCAGCATTCTACCAGCATAATAGTAAGTTATTATTTAACACAGAAAAAAAAGGGGGGACTGCTATTCTGCAAAACTAAAATCCATATCATTTCTGAAAAATAAATTTATTCTAGAATTTTAAATAATCATTAGTCAATAATAAAAGACAAAGCCATGTCAATCAAAAAAAAAAAAAAAAAAAGGAAAAATCATAAACATATATGTTACTAGTTGCTAAAAAGTTAGCATCAGGGAAAAGCCAGAGGGTCAAATTACTTTTGCTGCCTATTATAAAGCAGTTGGGAGATCCTACAGGAAAGATTTGAGCCCAAACACAATAGCTCCACCACATAATGGAGCATTGCCTTTTAAAGTTTATATATGAAAAACTGGTAATCTGAAGAAATTTCAATATTTAATTCATCCGAGTTTCAAGCTCATGCCCCTTTATTCCCTGTAAAAGTGTCATCAGGTAGAGCCAGTCCTCATTGGAGCAAGATGTCCCGTTAGCAATTGTAGCACCTTGGAGGTAGCCACTGTCTGCTGCTCCAGCACAGTGCTCTGGTCTAAAGGCCAGTGTGAAATCTCAAAGGACAAGGCTTCTCTCTGACTCCCGGTGAGTTCTAAAGTCTACAGCTAGAAATCTGAGAAAGGGTGGGAACATTTTTAAAATCCATTAGAGCAAATTTAGAACACAAATACTCACTTTATTCCTTAATTTATAAAAGACATATATCACTTTCTGGGTATTAAAAGTTTCCAGTCATGGCCATTAAATTGGGAGAATTTTGAACCGAACGCTACCCAGAGAACAAATGTGAAAATAAGATAATTATGAATCATTTCCAATTAAACAAAGTCAGACTTACTCTTCCTTTTAGGTGATGTGCAAGACTGTCCACAAAACAGTCTTACATCCTCGGAGAGCTACTCAATGAGTTATCTGTGGGGCTGTTAAGTAATCCTCTATCTGCAAGCAACAACTAGCACCTAGACATCATTTATCGATGACCTGGGACTGGCTTCAGCACACACAGATTGGATACGAAGTAAAAAACACTGCGGTGGAAATTCTGCTCTGGGCATGTTTAGGTTTTTATGTGCCTCTTCTCCTGTCAAATCAGCTATAATAACTTGCCATCAACACATTAAGCCTTCTTTAAGGATTTGTCATTTAGTTTAGAGGATGTCTTTAAAATGCATTATATTTCTATAGCAATTTAAATTATTACCTTCAAATTACTTTTCTTACTTCCATAAATAAAAGTGTGTTCTTTATTCAAAAATAACTACTTGCCACAAAAATTGCCCTCTCGTGTCCTGCTTCCCAAAAATATAACTATTGAAAGGCCAGGAAGAGCCAGGATGAGCTTGGGTAAAGGGAACTTGTTCAGTTTTTACTAAGTCTAAACTTAAACTATAAACCTTCATTTAACATGGATATTTATACTGCTTCAAGTCTCAAAAGAGAACATTACAATCCCCAAAGACTAAATCACTTGTCTCTTTTAAGAGTTATCAGAATAACATTATGCTGAAAGTGACAGTCTAGCTCTGTTCTGTTTGTTAATGCAGCACAGACTTGCTGGCCAACTGCAAATGGCTGTAAGTCCTTATCGCAAATAAAACTATTTTTGTGGCATTTCTATTTTTCACTTAAACGTCACCAGCTCTTCAAGACTCAGGGCCTGTCAAGTGTTCTGTTGCCAAGACTCTGCCTGTCAGAAAGGTCAGCATCTAGTACCTTCCAGTTGGGTCCCAAAGGGCCTCTCTTGGTCTTGACTGACTGGAATAATGCTGGGTCTTCATCAGCTTTGTAGTCCTGCAAAGCAAAACAAAGTCAGAAGCAGAAAAAAAGACTCAGAGAATATTCTTTAACTTTGCCAGAACAGCTCTTTGCAACTACCAAATCTCACAACAGAAACCAATTAGACTTACTGCGCTTTTTGCGTAAAAGTAGGAAAATGTTTCTACATGACATTAAGTTTTCAGTTTGGCTTCTTTTGCTTTAAACTTTTACCTTAGGCAAAACAACTACACAGTAAGTAATAAAAGTCTTGACTAGCAATCCACTCTGACTGGTTACCAGACAGCGATCTTCAAGAATGAATCGTCCAACATTTTTCAATTTTCAGCATTTTGATATAGGGATAGCATTTTGATATAGTTGCTAGAGAGTAACTACTGTGACTGGGAACACAAATCACAACTACTGCTTCTGAGGCATCCTCCCATCTCTTCCATAGTTGGGTCTGCAGGGGACACCTCAATTTCTTCACCAGCCTCTCCAAACCCTTGTTCACAGAGAGTCATGGGGTGCACATAACTTGGCTTCTTCATGGAAGAGAGAGTGCATTCATGTTAGCCCCTCACTGTCAAAGGAGGTAAGGGAGGGGTGTCATCATACCACAGGGGAATGGCCCTAAAATTCTAGGTTTTATTCTAGCTTCTAGCATGTGTAAATTCTGTTTCCCTTAGCATCTTCTTCCTGGAAGAATGGAGGACGTAAAAAAGTAATCTTTTTAAACCTATCTGCTTCATAAAAGTTCTCTTGTCATTACAAACATACACACACATACGCTACAAATAGAAATAAAAAATTACTTTTGAAGAGCTAAACCTCAGATTTAAAAAAAAAAAAAGGCTGCAATAGTAACAGTAGACAGAGGTCAGTTGGTCAGTTTAAAATGCTGAAAGGAGAGAAAAAGAGCCTCTTCCTTCTTGAGCAGACTTTCCGAACCGGGGGTCCTTCACAGCATTCATGAGGGGATCGCATACTTTGGGGGAAACACCCAGACAAGTAAGATCTGAAACTCTGGCTAAAAATCACTGTTCTGGAGATAAGGGCGACACAAGCACAAAGCAATAACTGAACAGGCTCTGAAGCACAACACAAACTTATCACAAATCAAAGAAAACATGTTGAGAAGCACCCACTCAAAACTCAACAGCTCCTCAGTAAATGCATACAGCATGTTAATAATTCCTAAAGAGAAAGTTACAAACAAATTATGTGAGGAAGGAAAAATGTGAGGTCCAGGAAGAAAACAAAACTTTAAAGAAAGATAATTAGGTAAATATGTGATCCTGAACATGAAGCCTGTCTAAAGATTATCTAAGAAGCTACAAAAAGACCCAATAATGGGCTAAAACAATTAAACAAGCAAATTTAGCTGGTCATACCAGGTCTTAACGCTTTAAAATATGGAATGTGTGGCCACAGGCATTAGGTCAGTCAGCTTATTCGGGAACAATTGAACTGGGATGAGCTGTCTGCAAGAAGCCGGACAGTTGGAGCTACTCATATGTCTGGGTACATCAGCAGAAAGTTCAATTACTGTCAGCTAGTATGAATTCTTAAATTCCAATTTTGAAGTGCATCCTAAAAATTAACAACTTCACTTCTGACTGATGAAAGGATCAACTGCACAGGTGGTCCCAAGACCCGGATTCACACTGAGAAATAAGCTACTCTGCTAAAATAAATAAACCAGTAACCCCATACAACATTTCTTCTAGGTCAGAGGCTTGGAATGAAAACCCAAAGAGAAGCTCACTTTTCTCAAAAATTGAAAATATTTCACATCCTACCAAATAATCACTTTGAGCATCGTTTCCATCAATCGAAATCTATTTATTAAACAGCCACCACATAGAAGGTAGCACACAGGATGTTAAGAGGTAATTCAAGAAGTCAGGGAAGGAAGGGACATGGTCCTGGCTCCTAAAAAGGCAGTCTAGTTGGTAGAAAGGAGAGGCAAACAAAGAAAAGGTAATTAAACCCGCAGGAAGTGCACGTTAACTGCCAACAGAGAATGGAGAGAATTACAGTCAGAATCAAAACTAAACAAAACCAGCCAAGGAAATCAATTTTTTAAATGAATTTTAAAATGATGTTTAAAAATAGAAAAATCTTATTGTTAAGGTGCATTATGTTAAAAAAAAATATATATATATATATATTTTAAAGAGGCAGGCTCTGGCTCTGTCACCCAGGCAAGAGTGCAGTGGCATGATCACAGCTCACTGTAACCTTGAATTCCTGGGCTCAAGGGATCCCCCTGCCTCAGCCACCTGAGTAGCTGGGACTACAGACACCTGCCACAATGCCCGGCTAATTAGAAAAAGTTTTCTTTTCTTTTTTTTTTTTAGAGGTGTAGTTTCACTATGTTTCTCAGGCTGGTCTCGAACTCCTGGCCTCAAGTGAGCCTCTCACCTTAATTAATTTAATTCTAAGTATCGGTATGATGCCCAGAAGCCTGCCCACTGCCAGTTTATTCCATTTCAGGGGAAAATCCCTTTATTCTCCTTTTTACTAGTGACCGGAGTGTGACACTGGTATGGGAATGACGCTAAAGTGTTTTCATTTTTTGTTTTCGTGGCTGTTGGTTTTTGTTTGTTTTGGTATTTTATTATTATTTTTTTAAACAAAATCTGAGATATTAGGTAGCAAGGATGACCTGAACAGTAAGTATCACATTTCCTAAATCTAAGAGGTCATCAGGTATAGGGTGCTTCACTATTTTATGTACCATTAAGAAAGAAAATACTCAGCCCATAAAACATGCCATAACTGGAAGACAATTCTTGATTCTGGATATATTAAAACAATGAGAGGGGGGAAAAAGGGAGTAGGATTTTAGAACTGATGATATAGACCGAAAAACTACCTCTGTGGATTTTAAACTTGCCTGCTCCAAGGGAAAAAAAAATTCGTGAGACAAAGTATACACAATTATCACTAGTGCTAAATTAGGAATAAAACCAATGACATTATACAATAAGGATAGTACATAACAAAGAAACAACTAATTTAAGAAAACAGAGCTTGATCTAAATTTTGGACAGCATAAATTATTCTCATGTAGGGGTAGATTAACAGGTCAAAACATGATCACGGCAGCGTGAAGGTGACAATACCAGTGGATGAATTAGATGGACTTCCTTGACAATATTTCTTCTCCTTCCCAAGCCCAGCTCCACAACAGGCTGACAGCTTTAGGGATTTTCAATACCTATTTGACATAGATTAATTAACTAATGAACAACACTTCAAAACTTTTCCACTCTGGACCTAACTGTTCCAAAGTGCGTGCGTGCGTGCGTGCGTGCGTGTGTGTGTATATATATATATATACAGTTTCAAAAGTATATTTCTAAGCCTTCATTATCAGTGCTAGTCGTTCACTGAGACACTTTTCTGAACTATGGATTCACGGAATCATAGAGGTGATCTGAACCTTAAAGACCACCCAAGCCCCCTCATGTTAAAGATGCAGAAACCACCCTCTGACTCAGAGGTGGTATGGCCCACCTATCCTAGCACTTCAACTCCAGCCTCCTTAGCTCCTGCCCCAGACTCATTCTGGTATACCACACAGGACAATGACAAAAGGTGTCAACAAATGCAAGACAATCAAAACACATTTCAAAAACTCAAGAAGCTGCAGCACCAAGGATATCAGAGTGGATATCCCTATGGGGCACAAATGTGTGTATATAAAATATTATACTCACATATATGCATATATGAAACTAAGTCCTCCCCTCTCTGCTTCTTCCTCTTGAATACAAAGCAGCAAACATTAAAGATATTATACTGAAAATGTAACAAAACCCAATTATTAACAATAGCACCTTAACCTTGACAGATGAGAATAATGCATCTTGTCAAAACCTAGGAATTTTTGTGTTTTATGTTAGTTTGAATACGTAAATGTTTAATCAGGCGAATTAAGTGGCAAGATACTAAAAAGCAGGAAGCAGGTGTAGTTTTAACAACTTCAGTTTTGTATCTCTACAAGAAACATTTAATTTTTTGAACAGTATCTGCTGCAATTTCATCGTTGGGCATCTAGTTTGGTCTTTCTGTATGTGAAAACTGGCCGATTTATATCCATATCACAATGAACAAATATATTCCTTCATGTATGACAGTTTCAGCATACAGAATGCAACCTCAGCTACCAATTATAGCTGCAAATGAGCAATAGTGTGGAATGAGACAGCCTGCTGGCTTTGTTAGTATTCTGTCTCCTTTGGGATCCCATGGGGAAAGGGGAGGCTCTGATGAAGAGAAGCCCTTGGCTCATGGTTTATTGTGCTTGCCACCAGCTGCAGACTTCTCATCTCATTAGTTCTTTTAGAATACTGTGGGTGAAGACAGCTGTAGCCTACTTGAGTCTTCAGCTCCTGGGTATTCTGAAGGCTGAATTTGCTATGCACTTTCTGTAATCCTTGGGAAAAAAAAAGAAAGCAAATTCACTAGGCCAAGGAAATGCATTTTAAAAATGGGTTTTAAATCATGTTTAAAAGTAGAAAAATCTTATTGCTAAGGTGCATTGTGTTTAAAATTTTTTTATGATTCAATTTTAATTATCTGTATAATGCCCAGAGGCCTGGCCAGGATAAGGGCTTAGTAAAACCATCATTATCAAGTTAGGTATAATATCCCTAGACATTACTTGCTCCACCAATAATAGTGCCTGAACAACAGAAAAATACAATGGTATCAGCATAAAGTATATTCGGATTAGTGTTAATACAACTCTATTTAATTGAAAACTCTTATTTAAGTAAAAAAGGCAAGTGGAAAGTCAAGAAACCCTTTGGAGAAGAAAATAAAATATAATACAGTAAATAAATGGATTACTGAGTCTCCACACTGGAGCCACAGAATACATTCATTAAATTCTTATAAATAAGTGTTTTCTGTCACTGGAATACAAAAGTTGTGCTACCTCTTGGGTGTACATCTGTTACTCACTACAGCTCCCAATAGAAATTCTCAATAGAAACCAGATTCATTTCAAAGACAAAGAA